AATTTGAGGTTGCCAAAGGACACGTAACTCTTCCTGAGCACAGTGTTTCGCGAGAAAGCACCGAGCATCTCGACAATATGCAACGAAAACAGCTGTTGGACACGATAAATGGTTCGGAGTGTCGCTTCGCCACTAATGCGTCAGCAAGTGCTATCTTACAGGTGATCTTACAGTCCTGTAATAACTCGCTTGTGTAGCAAAACTCGGTTCATTTTTGAGTACTGGCGCTGACCTGGAGGTCGTGGTCAAGTCAGTACCGCAGAAGTCCGCCTTCGTCGTCTTTATTGCTGGCAACTTTCTCAAAATTTCAGGATCTGCTCTCACACTTGCTGCCGACACAGTACGGTTTTATCGTGATGACTATAGCAAGTTCGAATGAGAGCTTCAAAGAGGTGGCACAGAACAAATATGGCTGCCGAGTGATCAAGTGCGCCTTACAGGTCAGTTTGGCTACTGCGACCTTTGTTATTGGGGGTTGCAGCCGACGAGCTTTCGCAGACTGTCGGAGACCCGTTTAAGATTTGGCGAAAATTCAGTGCAATTTTGATGCCTCTTTAAATTTAATAAGCTTGTTTTGGGGTCGGGCTCGCTTCTGAAGCAATTCAATCGAAATTGCAGGAACTTTTTTTGGAACTTTCGGCTGGGCTTATAACCACATGACGTCATCGGCAATGACCTCCGGTCATGTCGGAAGCAATATCTCTACGGAGTGTAGTTGCTGAAAAGATTAACAAATGCTTCGTCCAGGACCTTGAACGAACAGTGTATGGAGAAGTGGACCGGAGCGCAGCTGAGAAGCAGTCGGCCAGGGATTCGCTTACGAGACTGCTGTGTCGATTGACTGATAACTGCACTGAGCTGACCAATCATCGCTATGGAAGTCGCGTGATCAGGTGCGCCATCAGATCGAAGAACCTTAGCGCTGTGCGCGACTATATCATCAGAAGATCAGTTCTGTAAGTTTTAACAAAAGTTTGTTTCCTGGCCTGTTATGTCTTCACCTTTCTCAAGCAGCCTCGTCTCCAGTGACATAACGAGTGGAGTGCCCGAAGTGGAAATGCGGCTTCTCCTCATTGGCCCTTCGCTTTACTTCGATGCGTAACATGAGAAGGCGCTTAAAATCTGACTGGATAAAGGCTGAGTTCCGCTCGCCCCGATATTTTCCATATTGTCGTTTTTCGTATTGAGTGCAGCTGAGTTAGGAGCTAGGCCTCACCTTAATAATGGGCGATTAGTGATAAGGTGGGTGGGAAAAGTTCATAATTTCTACACTGTACATCGGAAGAGTGCGATTCCATCAGTCAGTGGATATCTAGCAACCTCACGGAAAAGAAACCGATCGCATGGACGTTCTCACGGGCCTAAGGTACGGCCGGTCACTGCATGCAATCTGCTCAGCAAATCTGCCTGAAACAGTTGTGCCGGGCGCGTTCAAGGTGTGTCTGTAGCATAGTCGGATCCACCGCCCTCCCCCCTCCCGCCTCGCTCCCCGCAGCGGTGCAGGCACCAGTGCTGCAAAAGCCCAGGATTGTTCCCAAATAAAGCTAAACTACTCTAAGTAGCAGTGTTACAACTTTGTTTCTAATTTTTTCATAGTTCCAGGATGGGACAGGGCTCTCCTCTCCGCCTCCGCTCCCAGGAGCCCCACCCTCCTCCTCGCTCCCTGTTGCCCCTTCCCAGGAGTCCGTCCCAGATCGATCTATAGCCTGTAGTAAGAATACTGCATATGCAGGTTGAGTTTTAAGTTTACATGTGCCTCTAGGGGACGGGGCGAAAGGAAAGGGGGTTAGCTTGAGGCACGGGAATTCCTGAGACCACCGCTTTTCTGATGACTTTGTACTAGTTTTGCTGCTGTTGCAGGGGTCATGTGGAGGCGTTATATCGAAATGATTTTTCGTTGAAAGTCGTTCAGCTGTCGCTGAAGCACGCCTCGCCGGAGTTGAAGGACCAATTAATGGCCAAGATCGACGGCGCTCGTAGCAGCCGCGAACACTCTGCGCATTGATGAAAGCCACATCTTGCGGGAAATGCTCACGAATTGTTCGTGCGCCTATACGCCTGGATTTTGGGCTCGAGCTGTTCAGCCATTTCTGTTGAATTACAGGGTCACTGTCCCACTCTGGCGAGATAACCGAAGCTCGTCAGCTTAACAGAGCATGAACTGATGACAGTTGATCTCCGATATCAATGCTGCACTTCTGTGAGACAGTCATGAGAGGGCACTGGCGTAGCAAGTTCTTTTCGAATCGGATGAAAATTTTTCCGAATAATGAGCTACTATTTTGATCAGTTTCGATGGTCGAATCCATCGTGTCCTGGTGGACAGACGTCATCGGCTTCTCCGCGACTGGAATTTCAGTTTCTCAAAATT